ACTCTGCTGGACTCCCACCTCAAAACACCCATGTATTTCTTCCTTCAGAATTTTTCATTCTTAGAAATCTTGTTGACATCTGTGTGCATCCCTAGATATTTATTCAGCATAATGACAATGGATAAAGCAATATCTTATGATGCTTGTGTGACACAATTGTTTTTTGTCATCTTCTTGGGTGCATCAGAGTTTTTCCTGTTGGCTGTCCTGTCCTATGATCGCTATGTGGCCATCTGCAAACCACTTCATTATGCAATCATTATGAGCAACAGCTTTTGCACCCAACTGGTTCTTACCTCCTGGTTGAGTGGCTTGTTAGTAATCTCTCCTGGACTTATCATGGGTCTAGAGTTGGAATTCTGTGATTCCAATGTTATTGACCACTTTGTCTGTGATTATTCTCCTGTCCTGAAACTTTCCTGCACAGACACACGAGTCATAGAACTGTTAAGTTTTTTTTTAGCCATTGTCACACTCCTGATCACATTGGCTTTGGTGGTGCTCTCCTATGCATATATCATAAGAACAATTCTCAAGATCCCTTCTGCCCAGCAAAGAAAGAAGGCTTTTTCTACCTGTTCCTCCCACATGATTGTTGTCTCTATCTCTTATGGCAGCTGTATTTTTATGTATATAAAACCTTCTGCAGAAGAAAGGGTAGCTTTAAACAAGGGAATAGCAGTACTCACTATTTCAATTGCACCTGTCTTAAATCCTTTTATATATACTTTAAGAAACAAACAAGTGAAACAAGCACTGAAGGCTATAATTAAAAAATGTGTCTTTATTACCTTAAGATAATACCTTTGGCTTTTATAAAAGCTTTTTATGTTTGTTTGTTTGTTTAAGTAGCCTTCAATAGCCAAAGCTTATTGAAAATTGTGGCCCATATTGATTACTCTTTGAATATATACTTCCATTTTATTTTTATCTTCTTATTTTGTTCATCCTCAATATAGTCCACAAAGGATTCATTTTGGAAAGGAAATACCTCCATGTTTTTCTGACAGATATGGTGAAATATAGATCAGTTATTAACTTATATTAATATATTTCAATTTATAAGTCTCTAGGCAATATTTTTAGGAGCTCTGGTAGCATAGTGGCTAAAGCACTTGACTGCTAACCAGAAGGCTGGCGGTTCAAACCCACCAGCCACTCCTCGGAAGGAAGGTTGGGCAATCCTACTTCCGTAGTGATACTGCCTCGGAAACCCAAGAAGGGGTCGCTATGAGTCGGGGCCGACTTGACGGCACATAACAACAACAACAACAACAACAGGCAACATTTTTTCTTACACATGGTAGTAGTTCAGTTTGTGTGTCAGCTTGGCTGGGCCTGGTTGAGTGGCTGAGCAGATGGTGGTAGTTATTCCTCATGATGAGACTGGTAATCAACTCCATGGTGGGATCTACAACAAGCAGCTGAGTAGTAGCTGCTTTGGGTATATGGTCTGCTTCCCATATATAAGAAACTGCTTTGGGAATGGTCTCTAGCTTATGGCACACTTGGACCCTGCATGTTCAGCAGCCTGCCATGCTCTGCCATCCTTGGGACTTACAATGGACTTAAATTAATGGCCTGCTGTGTGTTTGCTAACATCAGGACTGTGCCTTTTTATTTGTCAACCTTGGGTTTGTCAGCCTCAGCAGCTAGCAGTTGTCTGAGTGAAGAAACTACTCTAGCTCCAGTGGGCTGGGAGCAGGAGGCAGAGCTGGACTGCAAGGTTGAGGGGCTTTCACCCAGCCCCTAGAGCCTGGCACTTTGGGCTTGGATTTAAAACCTCCAAACTGTGAGAGAATAAAGTCCTGTTTGTTAAGGCCATCACATTTGTGGTATATTCTTGTCAGAGCAGCACTTGGTAACCAGAACATACGCAATATCAATATTTTACTAAAATAAATGAAGTTTTCAGAAATACAATAATGAACCTAGATAGAAGTATTGTTGTTCAGGCTCAATGATGCCTGAACTAGAATTTTTAAAAAAGAAAATCACTCAAAATTTTTATGCTACTGTAAACTAAAGAAAGTTTTTCATTGAGGAAAAAGTGCTCTATATCAGAAGTTATATTAAGTAGGTGCTAGATCTTAAATTTGTCTCTAGGTTTTGAAATTGAAATTCTGCTCAAAAAACAACCAGCCACTGTTAACATTTTTGTGCAAATATAGGTGCATTATTTAATTTGGAAAAACTTGTGAATAAATAACAACCATTCTGAACAGTTGAAAAGCCATCCTAGGTGCCTGGTAAGAGTGGCTTTGTATAGTTAAAGTAGATACAAATAAAAAAATGTTTGAGATTTTCAAAATACATGTTTTAGTTTGTACAAAACTGTTTTACAGTTCACAATGTGTCTTATATTCTCTCCCTGCAGTGTTTACACATGCTCTTTCTCTCTCTGATTTTATTTTCCTTTTTTTAAATAAACCAAATTTCATGCTCTGAATTATTTTTAAAGTCATTTTAGTTTTTCTTAAAAGGTCCACTTTAAATAATCCAGGGACAATGAGATTCTTACCACTTGTCATAAGTAGAACCAATCACCAGAAAGGTTGAAGTGAAAAAGCAAGATTTATTGATAATCAACACCCAAGGAGATAGGCACAATCATTTCTCTAAAAAGTCTGTCTCCTCGAGCAAAGGGGTGAACATGATTACATAGGGAGATGGGAAGGGGGTTGAAGATCTCTTGGGCTGCCAAGATTGTCTTTGTTCTTCTTTATCTTGGTTGCTCTGTGTTTGTCTTCTTAGGGTCCTCTTGCCCCATAAAACCATTGGGTTTCCAAGGCTGTAAATCTTTACAGAAATAGATTGACTCATCTTCCCAGCAGAGCTGGTGGGTTTGAACCACTGACCTTCAGGTTAGCAGCCAAATAAATGCCTTACCCATTATGCCACTGGGGCTCCTTTACAGTATCACAGATTATGCATTCATATAAAACCAAACTTACTGCTATTGAATCGATTCTGACTCATGGCAACCTTATAGGACAGAGTATAACTGCTCCACAGGGAATCTAAGGCTGTAATCTTTACAGAAGCTGACTGTCACATCTTTTTCTCATGGAGAGGCTCTTGGGTTCAAACCTCCAACATTTTGTTTAGCAGCCAAATGTTTAACCACTGTGCAACCAGGGTTCCATATATGTATTTTAAACAATCTAGATCAAAGCATGGCATTTTATTGTTTTAAATTTTATTTGTTAAAAAGTAACCACATTTTTCTTTCTTTAATGACGTGTATTGAATTGCGTCCTCAAAAAAATATGTGTCAGTTTGACTGGGCTATGATCCTCAGTGGATCCTCAGTAGTTTGACAGTTACGTAATGATGTATTTTTGCAGTTCAGTAATGATGTACTCATCCTCCGTAATTTGATCTGCCAATCAGTTTAAGGGGATTAGAGTAGATGCAAAACCCTTACTCAGGTCACAGCCCTAAGCGGCATTTCCCTGGAGATGGCCTGCATCACTTTTTATCTTACAAGAGATAAGGAAGAGAGAAGGTATCAGAGAGAAAGTCCTCAATATTACCAAGAAAGAAGAGTCCTAGAGAAGAAGGTATCTCTTTGGCCAGTATTCCTGCCTGAGAACTCCTAGATCCAGGAGAAGATTGATGACAACATTTTGCCCCAAGAACCAACAGAGAAAAAAACACCTTTCTCTGGTATAGGGACTCTCTGTATTCCTTCCATCTTCTTTTGATCCTTCCTGCACCGTTCAAAATCTTGCCCATCAAATCCTTCTATATTACAATTCAAGACTTATTTTTTTTTTTCTTCAGTTCTTTCAGCTTGAGAAATGTAAAGCATATTCTTCCATTTTGGTTTCTAATTCCAAGTCTTTGCACCTTTCATTATAATATTTAACTTTGTTATCCCAACCCATGCTTTGAAATCTTCTGTTCAGCTCTTCTGTTTCATCATTTCTCCCAATCACTTTAACTACTCTGTGTTGAAGAGCAAATTTCAGAGTGTTTTTTGGCATCCATTTTGATCTTTTTCTGTCTTTTTAATTACCATATGCTTCTTTTACATATGAAGTCCTTGGTGTTGTTCCACCGCTCTTCTGGTCTTCAATCATTGGTGTTCAATGCTTCAAATCTGTTCTTCAGATGGTCTCTCAATTCAGGTGGGATAAAATCAAGGCTGTATTTTCTCTCTCATGGATTTGTTGCAAGTTTCTTCAGCTTCCACTTGAACTTGCATATGAGCAATGTTCCACAGTCAGCTTTTGGCCTTGTTTTGACTGATGATGTTGAGTTTCTCCATTGCCTCTTTCCACAGATGTAATCGATCTGAATCTTGTGTGTTCCATCTGGTGAGGTCCACATGAATAGCCACCATTTAGGTGGTTGAAAAAGGTATTTGTAACGAATAAGCTGATGATCTTGAAAAATTCTATCATGCTATCTCAGGGTGAATTTTTCTCACCAAGGTCTTGTTTTCCAACTATCAATGGTTTTGTTTGTTTGTTTGTTTGTTTACAACTTTCACATTCCAATCACCAATATTAATCAATGCATTTTTTTTTTTTACCTTTTTAAATTTAAATTTAGGTGAAAGTTTACTGAACAACTTCATTGTCCATACAATAGTTCATACACATTTTGTTTCATGACATTGATTGCAATCCCCATAATGTAACAGCTCTCTTCCCACTTCCTCCCTGTGGTTATGTTTTGCCAATTCTCTCCATCCAGTGCATTCTTGCCCTCTGAGATATATCCCTGTGCAAATACTGCCCTTCTGATCTTCCCTGGTTGATTGTTCTCAAGAGTGTACCAATTTGATGTAAATGCTCATCTTATTTGCCTATTTTTTGGCTAGAAGCCACAGGAGTGAACTCAATTCCAGTCCTATAGCATAACTAGGAGCCATCAGGATGGAATGTTTGATCAATTTGGGACTGTAGAATTTGGTAAAAATCTTCAATTTCTTCATTTTGGCCTTGGTGGTTGGTGCATAAATTTGAATAATAGTAGTATCAACCTCTCTTACTTGTAGGTTTATGGATATTGTCCTATCACTGACAGCATTGCACTTCAGGATAAGTTTTGAAACATTCTTTTTGACCATGGATGTGACACCATCCTTCTTCAATTTGTCATTCTTACCATAGTAAACTATATGATTGTCTGATTCATGATTCACAATGGTCAAAAACACTCCACTTCACTTCACTAATGGCTAGGATATCAATGTTTACACATTCCATTTCATTTTCTACAACTTCCAATTTTCTTAGAATCATATTTAATACACTCCATATTCTAATTATTAATGAATGTTCATGGCTGTTAGTTCACATTTTGACTCACGCCCCATCAGCAAATGAAGGTCCTGAATGCTTTACTCTATCCACATCATTAAGGTCTCTATTTTGAGCAGGCAGCTCTTCCCCAGTTGTATTTTGAGGACCTTGCAACCTGAGGGTCTCTTTTTCCAGCACTATATCAAAAAACTCTTCTTCAGTCTTCCTTTTTATTGTCCAGCTTTCACATGCATATGAGGCTATTGAAAATACCATGGTTTGGGTTAGATACACCTTAGTCTTCAAGGAGATATTGTTGCTCCTCAGCACTTTAAAGAGGTTTATTTTACATCAGATTTTCCCAGTGCAATACATGTGTGATGTCTTGACTTCTGCTTCCATGGTTGTTGATTGTGGAAACAAATAATATGAAATCTTTGACAACTTCCATATTTTCTCCACTTACTGTGATGGTGCTTGCTGATCCAGTTGTAAAGATTTTTGTTTTCTTTGTGTTGAGGCATAATCCATACTTCAGAGTGTAGT